ATCCCTGCCTTCTCCTGTGACGCTTTCAGCTGGCTCCATAGCAGCACACCCTCCCTGTTGGAGGACTACCCTCCTGGGAGCTAAACACCCAGCAGATGTTCGCAGTGACGCAAGACGGCCTTCTCAAAAACAAACCCGCATTTATCAGTCAACTGGAACACCATCTGAGGGGGCCTTCACTTAGAATGAAGCAGCAAAGCTTACATACAAGTGCATACTGGTTGCACAACCTAGTGCTCTTGTTGAAAACCATCCAGCATTCAAACCTCACCCTCATTAAACTGAGGCAGTAATTGAGCATCTCTGCTTCCTCCAGAGTTGGCATTTCGTGGTTTCATTACTTACCATTCCCCACAGCCTCTTGATTTCCAAAGCACATTTTCTATGCTGCTCCTCATGCTTTTGTGTTTTGGCTCCCTCTGTTCCCTTTTTCCAGAGTAGATTGCACCCGATAGTTCAGTTCTAATTCTTGTTCCTTCTTCTGAATCCTCTCTGATGAAGTTTGTCACTCCAGCTCTAGGGTTGGGGAGCTGGCTCTGAAGAACATGGTATTAGCCGCTCCAACTGCAGTGGGCACAACTTCACTGAAGACTTCTAGATCATGCAGGTCTCAATCTCTTACAACTTCACTGAAGACTTCTAGATCATGCAGCTCCCAATCTCTCCCAGCCAATGCTGGAGAACTGGGCTGTTTTCCAAAAAGCTCATCTGGGTCTTGACCATGGTTCCTTGTGCAAATGTTCTTATTTAGATCAGCTTTGCCTTGGCAAACTTTCTAAAGTTTAACCTCTGAGGGAGGACAGTCGTATCTGTCTTTTCCTTCTCTCGACTTGAAAGAACGCAGAGCACTTTCCTCTTTTCATTTCCTTCTATTAAGTTTGTTTTTGCTTCTGTGGTCACTGTTGCAAAATACTACTGTTTCAGTCAGCATCTTCGTTGCATGCCACCAGCTGCCAGGGAGTCACAGGCATGCTGTCTCTGACCTTCCTACAGTCCCTCTCAGAGGGAACCACTGAGTTGTACTTGCTACTTCTCTGCAAAGAGGAGTCCTGCTGCTCCACTACTCAGAAATTAGGCCCTCTGGCTTCAGTACACCTGTTTTTCTCTGTAGTACTTTCAATGAGTCCGTTTGAACATTTTGAGACTATAACTCTGCCAAGAGCTAGGCAACCAGCTGGTGTTTGCAGCAACACAACAGAGCTTTTCAACAAGGCAGCTTCTGTGAGTCAACTGGAAGACCAGACTTGGGGGTCGGGAGGTTACAATGCTACAAGCATGTCTGGTCTCTGAACTGGTCCAGGATTCCCTCTCCCCTTGCACTGGGCAGCAGAGTTCTTGTTAGGGTGTTGTGACCCATTGCGTCTTTGTTTCCAGCTCTAGTCTTGTTGTTTCCAAGCATCCTGCCTCCTTTGACTGACAACCATCAGAGTTAAACATCCATCCACTCCTTGTTCTTCCCTGAGGCAGGAGGGTTGAGCAGTTAAGGATTCTCATTACACCTCCAGAGCTGGGGAGTTTAAGCCAGCCTGGTTGATCTGGATCCAGTCTGGTTGACCCAGCTGTAAATGTGTATGTGGCCATTCAGTCTGAGAGGCCAGAGGTGGCCAGATATGGTGGAAGCCCCACCATGCCCTGGCGAGCTCCTAGGTGCAGAAGCTGGCCTACTGTAACCACATTACCTCAAGGAGCTGCTAGGATCAAGCAAACCATTGACTTAGATAAATGACCCCTGTCCTACGACACAGAAAAGGGTCTAACCCCTTCATTCCTTGTATACAATGTAAAAATAAGTGGGAAAAATTAATTATACATGTTTTTATAAAATAATACATTAATGCTCTGCATTCTTCAAAAAAGCAATCTCTTTAAGAGAAGTTCAGTGTGTGTCCCGTTCCCCCCCGCACTGTCTTCCACAGAAGCTACTAAGTAAGGAGGCCAGGAAAGGCCTTGCAATAAACTCCTCAGCTGTTTCAGAAGAGGCTGGTCTCAGTTTTGCCTCCTTCCTGGCTGTAGCTGCCTGATATGCTTCCGAAGCAGTGACCAGTTTTTCAAATTCAAAGCATACAAGCAGACGGCTCAGACTGTCTGAACCGGACAACAAAGTCATTCCTGTTTGGTTCACATCACAAAGCCACCATCTCAATGACATGTTCAGACAAGAGGCTGTGTCTGCACAAAACACATCAAGCAAACTGACCTACTGCCTCTCTGCCCTGGAGCTGAGCAACGCGGCACCTTTCCGCAAAACTGAAGAAATGACAATGACTATATGAATGCTCCTAAGATCCTCCTTAGAGTGACAGCTGCCTACGGGTTACCTGTGTGAACTTAGGTTTTCTTCCCTGTTTGGTTCTGGTGTGTTATCAGAGCTGCAAACACCCTCCAGAACAGTCTTGAAACACAGGACCAACAACAGGCAGGTTATGGCATACAGTCCTCTACTACTACAGGCAACCATGTTATAAAATCCCTTCCATAAATGGATTAACCACCATCTTAAGAGCATTTAGTATTCCGCCCCCCCCCCCCATTGGGAGGCTAGTCCAGAACCTCACAGCTCCGATGGTTACAAACGTTTTTATTTCCAGCCTAAATTTATTCATGGTCACTGTAGACCCATGTGTTCTTATGCCAACATTGTTCTTTAGCTTAAATAGCTTCTTTCCCTCCCGAGTGTTTACTGAGCTATGTTCAAATGCCAAGACCACCAGCACAGACGGACGGACGGATGAACAGACAAGAGGTTGCAAATGCACACAGTTGTGCCCTTACTCCTCTGCCAATCCCGCCGCCGTAATGAAACACTGACCTCGTTGTACCTTTACCAGAGCAGGACTCCATCAGCACCACTGCAGAGCGAGAGACAGACATGGCAATAAACAAAGTCTGTAGATTCAGCAGGGACAGGGTATTAGCTTTGACAGCGTGACGATTTCTTAAATATCCTGTGGCCCTGCTTGGCCAGCCTCAGCAATGAGAGGGCTGCACATTCAGAACCTAAATAATTGCTAAATGTGCGGAGGACTCTGTGGGCTTTTCTGTTTTTGTTTTTTATTCTTTCCAGACAAAAGTTCTTTCTCCTGGTGAGCTGTTCCCGCTGTTCAATAACACTGCAAAATGCCCCTCCTCCACTGCTCCTCTGAACTCATTAAAAAACAAACCCAGAGCAACAGGGTTTGTCTAGAGCCAAATGGCCTGTGCAGGACAGGCTGAGCTGGCTGAGAACAGAAAGTCAGGAAAGGGGTGTTGCCGCAACTTGCCTTGCGTGAAACATGCCAAAGGATTAAGCACAGAAAATAACCATATTTAATATTTATCCAGCACTGCGAGTGGGCCTGTTATTTTACAGAAATGGGGAGAGATGCAGACCCTGCCTAGAAGAGCTGATACACAAGTTCAGATAAAAACTAAGTCTGTGCGTGGGAAGGTTTCTAAGTGAGTTTTTAAAAGGGACCAGGAAAAGAGGAGGGGCAGTGCTGGGAGCAGGAGGCTGTTCCTGCTTCCAAGGAAGGGGTCCAGGGACAGAGATTCAGAGTAACAGAAGAACACGATACATAAGAACTGCCATTTACTGGGTCAGACCATAGGTCCTGCTTACACAGTAGCCTATGTCACACGGGCAAAGGGGGTGCTGGGTCTGACCAGGGTTTTTTCCATTGCTCTTCTCTCACTTGCAGCCTCCAGCATTGAAGGTGTAGGAAGATCTGAGGCAGTATCCCTAACTCCTTATTCTGTGCTCAATAGCTATTGCTGTGCCTTTCCTCCAAGAATTTGTTCAAACCCTTTTCTGGAAGTATTAGAAGTGAAGGTAAGGTGCCTGGCATCTTGTGTCATCACTACAGCTGCTCCAGATGCACGTAAAACACTATCATATTGGAATTCTTTTCACACAAACACCAGGGGTAGCATTTCCCCTTTCCCACTCACTTTGCACAGGTATAAACAATGACAGGAGGAGGAATCGACCCCCTGTTATATGTATAGCAACATTGTGTTGACTCATCAGCCATTATAGCAAACCAACCTCCCACCTGTCTTTAAAGTGACACTGTCAAGGCTGGTAGGCCTAAAATTATGCCTACTGATTGTGGTATAGGGTGATTTGTGGCCATGCACATGAATGTCATGCTGTTCCTGCTTCTGCTAGCTTGTTTATGCGAACAGGCAGGTCACCATAATATTCAAGAAGAATCTGGTCTCCAAAGCCCTCGGCCTACTGGATTCTTGTGAATTTCTGTACCTCTCTGCTCACAGCAGAAGAAATGAGGGCACAAGTCAAGTGCTCTTTGGAAGTCCCCTTCTCCAAAACATGTTTTAATATTAGCTCTTTCAGGGCTCTTTTTTTGGGAAAATAGCAGCATGAGACTCACCAGACTGGGTCAGACCCGTACGTCATCTATCTCAGTGTCTTGTCTCCAATAGCAGCCTGTACCAGATGCTTTGGAGAAATTCAGGAAACTGAAGTGGTAATTATGGACTGAGCTGCCCATGTAAACTTTTTTCCAGGTCCCTTCAGTTAGAGACTGACTTGTGCCCTAAGGAGAAGGGGTAGCCCCCTTTACTGTTGCTTTTTAGCCTAACTCATATAAAAGGATTACCCATATAAAACTAACTTGTATAAAGGGATTACCCATATAAAACTACAGAACTCCCATAGACATGGCCCAGGACTGAACCCTGAACTAGCAAGATTTGTCTGCGTACATCTAGCTAGACGCTCCGATTCAGCCTTGAAGTTCTTAGAAGAGGGGTACACACACCATCGCCAGGCTGCAGGCCCTGGTAGGTAGTGCAGGGAAGGAGTAAATTTAGCAAATGGAATGGCAAACCACAGAAAACCTAGCCCTTGCATGGGGAACTTGTGGGGAGGGAACAAACAATTCAGTGGGGACTTTTCTTGCCTTCCCCATCAACAGCTAAATCTGTTACGCCTCCATGACAGATATCAGTCCTGAAAGCCTGTCTGACAGGCACATTGCAGGAAAGGCTCCTGGGGGAGTGAGTCTGAGAGCTGTATTAGTCCCCTTGCCCTTGCTACTTTCAGACTGCTGCTGTTTGAACTGAGAAGAACAACAGCCAGCCTTTGACAATTGCTTCCTGTGAGTGACACCCCCCTGTCACAGGGAATTCCCAGCTAGGGTAGGAGGGTTTGGGTGAGAAAGGGATTTCCCAAGTATTTTACCAAGCCCTTCCACCCCCTAGGAGAGATAAGCAGCCATTTAAAACCACAGAAAGAGACAGCAGGGGAAGCCTGGCAAAGCACTGCATTTCCTGTCTCTCAGCTGGCTTTACAGGGGCTATGATTTTCTTCAATGGATCAGCAAAGAGCTCCAGAGGCTTTTGAAAGAGGTGATTCAGCAAATAATAATGCATGGAGAGACCGACAGAAACATGGAGTCAGCACAGCTGGCGGAGGTAAAATCCCCATGCACTGAAAGTGAAACCAGAGCTCAGGTAGTTTGTTTTAGGGTGATTGCAATTCCTGAAGGCTTGTCAGTCACATGTTTTTGGATCAGAAACCCCCCCCCAAAAAAACAACACAGGGATTTGCACAGCAAGTGCCTTTTTTCTATTCTTGAGAAAGATCAAGTCAGATTGACATGGGGTGCAATGGAATGGGTGGAAAGGACGTTTTACTTGAGAGGTGCAAAGTAAAGGTGATTCATTATTGCCAAATTCCAAGTGCAGAAAAATCCTGAGTTACATCTTCAAAATCACAAGCTTTGTTTTAAAATCTCTTGGTTTAAATATGGAGGAGTTTTTTATTTGCTTGCTGGCTTTTGAACCTGGGGGGGGGGGGGTTGTCATTTTCAAACTCTTCTCTGCAAATAGCAGTTAGAAAACAATATATAATTTTAAATAAGAGCCGAGATGCCCTAATGAAAAGGGCTTTTCGGGAGAAGGGGAGGCAAACAAACCCATCAAGGCTCGCAACAAAAATCATGAGAGTTGGCAACCCTGGTGATCAGAGAGTCCAAAGAAAGTTGTCTGAAACTGTATTATGATAATAATGCTTCTCTTTTGCTTAAATGATCCTCAGTTGGAAACCTGTTATCTCGGTAACATGCAACGTACACATTCAGGATTTCCCCAAATTTAAACAACTGCTATATTTACAGCAATGCAACTGATATCAGAAATTGGCCCACCAGCTTTAAGCCCAGGAGAAAAAAAGGTGACCCATTTGATCTTTGGTCAGCCATAGGTTCACTGTACTGCTTTGCACTAAAGTGGCCCCTGGTCCTAGGAATGCTTCATTAGGATTTAAAACAAACAAAGGTTTAAGCAATTGTATGTCATTGGTTAGCTTTTTTCATGTAAATGCCACCAAATGCCCATTTACTACCAAAATAATGCTGAGCACTCTACAAGCACTTATAACAATTGGTCTCAGCTCCTAAGCATTTCCATCTTACAACCTAGCCCTGCAAGCTGCCAGTGCCATGTGTCCAAGCCCCCAGTGTCACTGAAGCTATGCAAGACACCAACAGAGCAGCTTTCTAAGACCTACTTCTGCAGCACTATACCTGTGGATGAATTCAGTCACATGAGTCCCAGTCAAGTCACCAGGAAAGTTCTATGCAGGCACATCTGACTGCAGGAGCAGATGCTAATATGCTTCAAATCCAGAAGTCTCTGAGCACAAGTAAAACCATAAGACCTAGCAACCCTGCCTAAATTAAGAAAGCAGGTAACCCTCTTAATACAAATAATAGTCCTTTTTCCATTTGGGGATGGAGCTTTCTCCAGAAGCCCCTGTAGCTCTAGCCCATTAATAGCCTACTCTTCTGGGTTTCTGGCTGTCTTCTAACCACAGACTACTCCTTCCCAGCTCAAGTACTTTGTCCTGTCTCCTGTTGGACTTTTAACTCACAGCTCATCACACACAGCTGGGCTCCTGCCCCTGGCCTGTCTTTCTTAAAGCTCCCCACTGCCCTGTTACAAGACCTAATCCCAGCGCTGATCCCAACGTGTGAAAATCCTAGACCTGCTGAAGTTCACAAGAGCTTTGCCACTGTCATCAGTGGAGCCAGGATTCACCTTACAGCCAAATCTTGGTCACAGAGACACTTGTAGAGACCAAGTGATTCCAGCTGGGCTTTGCTTGGGAACCTGTCCTGAATAGGGTGCAGTATGAGGATTCATATTCCTAAAGCCAAAGGGGTGCACTCAGCCCCAAACTGCTAACTACCTGACAGTCCCTGGGTTGGAGCTTTTACAGATTCAGGATCTCATCTGCTTCCACCTTCCATTGCCAAGCATGTACTTTTCTCTAGTGACCTGTATTTTAAAGTTATTTACCTTTATTTTAAATAATTGCTACCATTTTATACTAATTATAAAAACATAAAATTATGTTTTACTTTAAACCCCACCCCACCATAAAACAAAGTAAAAGAGAAGAGAGGCCAGGGCTAAACTGCTATCTTCCCAAAACGCATACAGATAAGGACTCAAACTAAAAACTGCAAACACATCACTGTTTGAGGGGGGCTGGGGAAGAACCACTAAAAATGGGGAATTAGGCATAGAGTCAAAGGAGTTAGAAAAGAATGGGAAAATCTGTAAATTGCCTCATTCGGGGCCTCATTTCACAGCTCAGGTTAATAGTGGTTTTGCCACTGATGTCCGTGGAAGCAGGGTCAGAGCGTAAGATACTAAAGGCCTCAGGCTTGCCCTTCTCTGTGGTGCCTCGCCTGTTTTGAAATGTTTGTGCAAACAAGTAAGCGCCCGGGCTGCACAGAGTCAGGCGCACACCAAGATCGCATCTGACCCGGCTGCGCGGGGAAGAGGTCCCGGACCAGACACAGGAGGGGCAGAGTCACTGGGCATAACTTGCGCTCAGCACCCACCAACATCTGTCCCAAACCAGCGCTTCCCAGGGCGAACAGCCGTGCTGGGCAGGCCCCAGGCTTGCAAGGGAAAGTCTGCGGACAACCACAGCCGGCTGGGCCGGAGCTTTTCTCCCGGGGGCTGGAGGAAGCCCCTCGCGTAGGAAGCAGGCGGGAAGATTTCCCCGCCCCGACGTGAATCCCACGCGGGACAGTGGCCGGGAGAGGGCTCAGGGACACCCCGCGCACAACGAGCCCTGCGCCTGCACCACGGCTGCCCGGGCCCGCTGCGCGCGGAGGCGGCCGCTGTCCAGCAGGCAGCAC